TAATTGAAGCAACACTTCTAATAGCAGAGGCAGTGCAGAGGGATGACCAGGGCAGGGGCATAGTGTTTTGCCTGTGCTGCACACACTGACTGGTTCCTGGCCACTTTTTCTCTCTTGGTATGTGTCTACATGTACACACACACACACCGGCGCACACAAAAATCACAAATAAGAAGAGGACAATTTGCTTGCTTGGTGGTTCTGTGTTACATTTTGCAAACCTGAAGATCCAAGATACAAGCTGTGTTTATCTTTACAACTCCAGGGCTGCCACCATGGTTTCTGAAGATCCCAGGTACAAATCTCAATTGTCTTTTATTTTGATAAGAGCCCACATCATCAAGCACGTATGCTTGTGCTCAAATTCGCCACCACCTCTGAGTGCTCCCCTTACCCGCTTCTCATACCGCCCGTGAACCAGTGATAGCAGAATCCCAGTTTTAATTCTAAATACGGATTTATATGGGACTTTGGAACATTTCAGGTACTCTGAGGAACCGCATAGAGTGAATTGCTGCATCAGGACCAAAACATTCCCCCAAATCTCCAAATGTCAAGAATCTGGAATTCCCTCCATCTCTGCAGATCATGCTCCTAGTTCAATCAATAAATAAAAGAAGATTTTAAAAAAGAAGAAAAGAGGGGAGAGACAGAGAGAGAAAGGGAGAAACAGAGAGATTTTCAGCATTATAGAATTGTTTTAAAAATAGTTTCTTTGTTGTTCCTCTCTTTAACCACATTAGATGTTAATTCCTGAAGGATGAAAGTGTGGTTATTTTTTCCCCATCTGATATTTTCAGCCACAGTATTCTATCTCCTCCAATTTCCACGGCACCCTCTGCACTGACTTTTCAACAATTCAGCCAGACTTCCTGGCAGAACAGCAGCAGGATTTGTATTTGTGGCTGGATGTTCTCCATACCTCCAATTTCCCATGAGTCACAGGCCTGCCTCCCAGCTTTTTTACATTTCTCCTATGCAATGACTGACACGCAGAGTTGGAAATTATAGCTACACACACACACACACACACACACACACATACATATACTGAATAAATTTAATTTTCTGCTCTCACTCTTACCATTCTGGTTTATGACACATGTAGACGTGTCGGTTGACTTAAATGACTCTTTACCATTTTCCGTGTTCTGCCTCTCCCACGAATTAGCTCCACAGCTGCGTCAGGAATGCTTTCTGATGACAATGCTGCATTTTAAAAACGCGCAGGTGAGCTCAAGAGCTATTTCTTTCTCCCATTCAAATATTTATGCTGATTTGGCACTAATGACTCAATCTCTTTATTGCTCTGTGCGGGAGTTGTCGTCATCCCTCTGTAAGACAGTTTGGGCTTTGGGATGTTCTGTGTTTTTAGAGGTACAAAGCTGCAGTCCATAACTTCCACCTTTGTTGTGGCCTTGAGCAGAAAATAGCCTGCTGTGAATCGCTTGAGCAGAAACTTTGAAAGAAAAGACTCTTGAGTATCACCTAGGAATATGAGTATCAGATTTATCAGCATCTTCACTGGCTTGTGACTGAGGCCAGGGCTGCCTTTCATGTGGATAAAGTGGGACTCTTCTGGCCCGACATATACTTTCTGTAATATTTTCCATAATATTTCCATATTTTTGTCCAGAGGAGGAGAGCAAGAAGTGCATTGCCTGCTCCAGAAAGCAGGTGAGCTCCGGGCGTGCAGCCCAGCAAGTCCGTCAAATTTCTGCGTCCTGTTGTCAGATCGCTCTGTGCTGCACTTGCTAAGTCTTCAAAACTTTCCTGAGTGCACACAGCTCATTGACTTTAAATTAATTGCACTGCCAACATATAACGCTCATTCAGGTTCACCATGTTTCCCTGTATTTGGGGTTTATCCCTGTGTTTACCCTGAAATTACACTAATTTTTCCGCTTTTATCTTTAATGCCTCTTTATTTGAACAGCAACCACAGGAAGTTTGATTATGGTCTAAAATTACATCGGCGCCTGTTCTGCCTGACTCTGTGCCATTGAGTAAGTCCCAGGTTTGCTCTCCGTTCACACGGGGCTGAGACACCCCGGCGCACAGGACAGGGCTCGTTGTGGTGCCATTGCTCTGCAGAAGGACCCACCTGCACCAGTGCAGCTTGGCACTGATGTTCGGTGCCCTTCAGGCTGTGTCGCTCCTGGCTGAATCTCTTCTGCAAAACAAGCACTGCAACCTAGACTTTCGGCATCTTCAGAGATTGTATCTGGATGCTGCAAATTATCTTGATTTTTCAGTCTTTTGGAGGGAGGGCCAGAAGGGAGGACAGAAGCCTTCCAGATACCTAAACCACTTGGTCAGTGAAGGAGGCCAGAAGGAGATGGGGTGTGTAGAGAAGAAAATATTGGGCTTCAGACACATAAATACAAGGCAAATGGAAGGGCTGTTTCCCATGTCCACTGTGGATAGGACTATAGATAAGAAGTCAAAACTGCAATTAGGGAGATTCACCCCAGACACCACAAAAAAATTAATATAAGTAAAGCCCTATAGAGAAAGCGATGGTTGTGCAACACTAGTGCTGATTTGCACAAAGCATTACAGGTATGGCTGCTTTTGAGGCACAGGTGGGCTTGGCAGCTTCTTTAGGTGCTTCCACTCTACTTTAGGTGAGTCCATGCTTCAAACATCTTCAGTTCTTCAGACACGCCCAATTCTTTCCTGGTCCCTACAGCCAACCTATGCCAGATCAGCAGACTTGCTCTTCCAAGAGAGGTATATTTATGTATTTTTTCACTCTGAATTTCACATCTCAAAAGCCTCCATGTGCGTGTTGCAGAGGTGATAAATGTAACTGAGCTTTTCCTTATAGCAGTTATCTTCTTTGTTCCCCTCATTACTTTACCACTCCAGAGAGTTAGCAGAGACCGGCTTCATGACTGAAATTCATCCTCAGTCCAGAGCTGCTGGATGCAGAGCTGGTGCCCTGTAACCTCTCACTTCAAATACCCAGTCCCGGTAAGCTTTTTGCATGTGGTCTCTCTCCAGCAATGACACCCAAGCAAGGGCCACTCTGAAGCTACCAGGTGGATGGAGTTATTTTCAGGGGAGCTACCAGCATCTAAAACCATATTGGTACATGCTTTTCTCTGGCTAAACTTTTGGCTCCTCTGTGCTGCTTTGTGTAATGCCTTAAATTTCACAACTGTTGTGTTGTACTGACAGCACTCTCACCAGAGAAACACTGTTCTGCTCTCCTGTGAAAGAAGAAGTGACTAGGAGCTCTTCTAAGAGCATTTCATGTGCTTCAAGTGCTTTACAAGAGAAAGCATACCTAATTTTAGTTTAAGTGGATGTTAATTTGACATACGGATTTGAATAACTGAGATAAATTCTTGGCTTTTTGACACAAAAATATATTAAGTGACATGTGCTTTTTGCATACTGTTATTTTCTGAAAGGTTCTTTCTCTCTATAGCATCTAATGATAAAGCTCTAATGTGTCAGAGTCCTGAATTTGCAGGAAGTTGCACTGAATAGTCTAATAGTTCATTTTCATCTCTGGCTTACATGGTAATAATAGAATAATAATAACAAAGCTTGCAAAACATTCCTACCCTGGCTGAATCAGCTGGCTTTTTTTATGGGCTGGTTATTCATTGAGCAATAAATATTCCTGGATTTTTCAGGAAAGACATAGTGCCTAATTTGTCCTGAGCAAAATTAAACAGGACAGGCAGCCTTATCCTACAGCAGATCTCAAAGGACTGAACTTGAGTGACAGGCTTGAATGACAGCCTAAGTATGCCTGACAGTTGCAGAAGTCATCAGATTCTTCAACAGCAATTGTAAAGGCTTCTTACATTGTGTCCTTGAGTCTTTTCAGTGTTAAAATCCTGTATTGAAGGAGAATGAATTACTAATGCTACCATATCAGAGAAAAATTCAGTGCCTGGTTTGACTCAGATGAGTACTTTTCACTGTTGCTCTTGTCCCCCACGCTCCTGGATGTACAGAGGGTCAAATGCAGATTTGCCTCTAGACCAGCCTTTACAGCTCAGCCTTCGAAAATGTGAAGCATCCCAGTTCAGTTCCTAAAAAGGAAAGAGAAACTGCAATTCCTGGGCCACAGCTCAGCAGAAGGCATGGCTCTGTACTCACATCACATAAAATACTGCTAAATATTGACCACGTGTTGCACTGCAGTTATCGAGGATTTTCTGTTAGAGGCTCCTGTACCTGCGCAGGCAATAAGAGCTCAGCAGGTGAATAACAATCCCAGTCCCTGTGTGCACCCTCTCCTGCTCTTACACACACACATATACACTCACACTGCTAAATTTATTTCCCCCTTGCTGAGGGACTTGCTGCCGACTTTCCCTCCAGTTTGCGTCTTTTCCCACGTGCTGCTGACTTCTGTAATCCCTCCCATTTCAGCAGCATGATGAGAGCAGCGGGAAGTTGAATGGGAAGTCAAAGCCCAAACCTGGTGGAACAGCACGAGTTGTCTCATTAAGACTCAGGAGTGTTAACTGTGACAAATATGGGGGATTCGAAGGTTATAACTTATCAGTGCCTTATTTTGGCACTGATTCAGCTGATACAAACTGCACTGAGTTAGGTGAGCTCTTCTGAGCTCCAGAAGATGATCTCGGCCATTAAGCCCGCACCTTCTTGTGGCTTTACCCACTCACACGCCTCCTGGTGACAGGCCAGGAAACCAGAGATTTACCCCATTCCTCAGGCTACAGGACCTCAAAAGAACAAAAAATGTCCTGAAAACATAAGCGCAATGGCTTTAAACCAAATCGCATTAAAAAACCCTACTCTGATTTACTCCAAGATCTAGAGATGTTATTTCAGAGAACTGGTTGAATCGCAGCACTGCTTAAATAAAGTATCCACATCAGTACACGTGGCTTTCCACATGTTTCTGAGCCTAGCAGAACAATTTATGCTTTTCCCCTGTGGACAGTGGCATCCCTGGAGATATCCTCTCTCCAGGACCAAAGGCCTCCTTCCAGATCAACATTTCATATTCCTTAAGGGTTTTTTTCATCTTCCTGGAGGGCCTTCTCATCTTCCCAGAGAGCTCTCTCCTCTTCCAGGAGAGCTGTTTCATCTGCCTACAGAGCTGCTTCTTCTGCCCATAGGACTCTGTCCTTGCCCAGAAGGACCCTGTCTTTCTCCCAGAGGAGCTGATCTTCTTTCCAGAAATCCTTATCCTTCTTCCAGAAAGCATTATAGTCCTTTCAGAAGTCACAATACGCCACCCAAAAGGCTTCTGCTTCCTCATGAATAGCCTTTTCTTCCTTCCGAAAGGCAGCTTCCTTCTCCCAGATGGGCTTTTCCTCTTCCCTGAAGACTTGGATGGCCATCTTGAAATCTGATTTTTTCCCGAAAGTCCTTGATCTTCTCCCGAAAGTTCTTTATTTTCTCCTGAAAACTCTGAATCTCCTCCCAAAAGGCTTTCTCAACCTGCAGCTTCTTGATGAGCTTCTGCTGGTGGGAGGTGCAGTAGGGAGAGCAGGACATCAGCTGGCAATGGCAGCTCCAGTTTGCTGCTCGCCACTGGTGGATTGGGCAAAGACCCAGCGCAGCCCCCTGCCTTTTGCCCTGTGGCCCAACAGAGAGAGGAGTGATGGGTGTCAGTGATGACATCACCCAAACCTAGTCATAGCTGGCTTGAAATGATGTTGTACCACAAGTGAAGACATTTACCACGAATGAAAAAGAAATCGCTGTCCAGGACTCGGCCAGCACAAACTGCAGTGGCACCTGAAAGTCAACCTGTGCCGTGCAGGGCAGAGGCCAGGATTTCTCTAGGTCATTTCCCACCGTGACTCCAGGCGCTGCTGGTTTGGAGAGGGGTGAGGGGCTGTGCCAGGACCAGCCTTTGGCACTGCCCTGCTCCCCCCGGCCCCCATCAGCGGGTCCCAATCTGAAGGACAGACACCTCTGCCCTTTTCCCTCCGGTGCTTGAGGCACTCTCTGACCCTTGGCTATGTCTCCTGCCCCTTCACAGGCTCCCCCCCAAAATTTACAGCTTCCAGAGTCACGTGAAACTTGAACAATGAAGAGAAAACAAAAATCTAATTTTCCGTTCACTAATCTACCTAGTAATTCTACAGCTAAGATTAAAGCTGGTTACTTATTTATACTGTTTCAGTAGATTTATTATGACTTACTACACAGTGCCTCCAGCTGCGTAGCAGGGAGCAGGTTGCCTTATAAATAAAAACCTCTTGATTATTAATATATTATGAGCCTGCCTATCCCTTGCTGTAGTCAGGAAAGGCCCCAGGGGCCTTTGCGGATGCAATGCAGCTGATGGCAATATGCATCTGCTCTGCATGAGGAACGAGAAGGTGGGGAGGGCCCCGAGCCTATGTGACGGCTCCAGGGCACAGTGACAGGCTGGGCAGACAAGCCCAAC